ATGATTGCATGTAATTTTTTTAAGAATCTTAGGAAGAAACTGATTTTCTTGGATTTTTGATATTTTTTCCCAATATTTTTAGAAAAATAAAAACGTGCAGAAACTAAATTTTTATTTTCGGGCCGGTAAATTTCCCCTTAAAAAGGTTTTAAAAATATGTAACGATTGGAACAAAAGCGCACAAAACTATTTTGACTAGCGAGTACAGGATTGTTAACGGAATGACGACTTGTGCGAAGGATTGAGCATGTCAACCCTGCCGCAAAGTACCGCCAGTCAGCGTGACAGGAAATAATGTCGAAAATTCAACATGTTTTAAAGATGATATAAAAGGACAAACCTAGTTTATTGCAATGCACAAAAAAGCTGCAACTTTTGAACCACGGTAACAAATGACTAGAAATTTTCAGAGAAGATTCTTAGACGAATGTTTAGTAAGGCAACAATAGACCAAGGTTCAATGGCAAACTAATATCAACTTTTCAATTAGGAAATCCAAAAGCTGTCTTTGAACTTTGTACAGTTGTGAAATATTTCATCCTCAGAATTCCTAGAGGTTCATTTCGAATTTTTTAGAATTCTATGAGCTCTTTTGAAATACTTCTCAATCTGAAATTATTTTTAGAACTTCTTGACTTTTACTCCCAACACCTTGAAACTGAAATTCTCCTTATGTTTAAGAAGAATTTCCTCTGTATTCTCCAGAAATTCTTTCCAGAATGAGCTAGAAATTACCCTCGGGATTTCCTTGAAATTTTCCTCAAAATCTCTTTGGAATTTCACTCAAAATTTAATTTTCTCTGTATTCTTTTTGGAATTATCTTGGAATTTTCTGCAGGATTCACTCAAAATAATTCACAGAATTTTTTGGACTACTTTCCAGAAACCCTTTAGAACCGTCCTCAGAATTCAATACCCTTGAGGTTCTTCACGGATTTTTTTAGAACTCTCCTAAGAGCTCTTTTGAAATTCTTCTCAGAGGCCCACTGGAATTATTCTTAGAACTCTTCATGATTTTATCTCAGAACACCTTGGAACTGAAATTCCTTTAGAGTTTCAGAATTTTTTTCCGGAATGAGCTAGAAATTATCCTTGGAATTCGCTTGAAATTTTGCTCAAAATCCCTTTGGAATTTCATTCAAAATTTGATTATCTCGGTATTCTTTTCAAAATTATCATGGAACTATTTGCAGGATTCACTAGAAATTATTCGCAGAATTTTCATGAAATCATACCTAGAAATCTTTTCTTTTGAAACTGTCCTCAGAATTCAACACCCTTGAGGTTGTTCTCGGAAATGTTCAATAAAGCTAGCCCCTCCTTTCACCAGAACTGAGCAATTTTTACATCAGGAATTTTCAATTCAGCTTGCCCCTCTATGCAGCAGATTGTTGCAAATCTTACACCAGAAATTTTAAACCAGAAAATTTGAATTGACCAGATCCGATGAAAATTTTCCACCGTTAATGTTCAATAAAAATTGCTTCTCCAATCTTCTGATTGGTGCAGATTTCCTTTTTCTATTTTCCACCAGACATTTTCAATATAGATTGCTTCATCCTATCATGCAGGTTTTCCACTAAATAAAGATTGCCGCTATTTTTAGATTTTTCATCATAAATCATAAATGCAAATTTTACACCAGAAATTATTATTAAAATTTGTTTCTCTATTCAGCTAAAGGATGCAAAATTAAGACCAAAATTTTTTCGAAAAGCTTGCAAATCCTTTCACCAGAACGGTGCAAATTTTCCACCAGAAATTTCCAATGTAGCTTAATTTTAAATAAAGCTTGTGCATTCATTTACCATACCAGTGCAAGTTTACCACCAGAAATATTTTGTTGATTTTATTTATCAGAGCGATGCAAATTTTGCACCAGAAATTTTCAATACAGCATGCTCCTCCATTTACCAGAACGGTGCACCAAAATTTGAGAGTGAAGTTTGTTTCACCATGCACCTTTGTGGTGTAATTTTCAGGCTTTGCCTCTTCATGCACCAAAATGGTGCAAATTTTCCACCATAAATTTTCAATGAAGCTTGCATTCTTCAGAACGATGCAAATTATGCACCAGAAAAATGAATAAACCTTGCTTCTACATTCGCCACAGTGTTGCGAACTTTCCACCAGAAATTTTCAGTTAAGTGTGAACCTTCAAATTTTTAGCGTGATTCAATTTTTCCACCAGAGTTATTCATTTTGATTAGTCCCTCCATGCACAACCTTGATGATATTTGTACACCAGAAATATTCAATAACAAGCTTTTTCTTCGATTTACCACCACGAAGGTGAATTTTTTCAACCTTAAATTTACCCTCTTCTTTTAACCCTCCATGAAACACCTTGAAAAAAAAATTACACCAGAGTTTTTTTGTATGCACCACTGTGGTGCAATTTTTTACCAAAAAATTTCATTGAAGTTTGTCCCTTCATGCACCTTTGTGGTGCAATTTCGCCGAAGATGAAATATTATGTTCCCCTCGTTCTAAAGCAGGACATGAACTGAGAGCAGCGTTAGTAGATACAGTTGTGAAATTCTACGAAGATGACGATATAAGCAGAGTTATGCCGGGCCAAAGATATTATGTGGCTGTAGTGACGGGTGGTGTACGCCAGGTAATACAAAAACGTACACACTTAGATTTTTTCGCCGAGATGGGCACCACCGAGCAGCTCGGCATTTTATTTTGCTGGATATCAGTGAAAAACTTGCCGAGATTCAGCTAACAAACGGAAATTTTGCCGAGATCTCAGCTAACAAACATATTTTTTGCTGAATTTCCAGCAAAATAAAATGCCGAGCTGCTCGGTGGTGCCCATCTCGGCAAAAAATTCTAAGTGTGTATACTAACAATGTCGCTCAAAGAATCATACTTTACGGAAACCCATAATGATGTTAACATTAGCTTTAGCTCATTTGCAGCCTTATGGCCAAAAAAATGTAAACTTCTCAGTAAATCAGGATCCCATTGTGTTTGTGTATGTACGATTCACGAAAATGTAAATCTAATGTTGAACAGCCTGAAAAATGATCGAATATTGTGTGATCGCACTATTTATATCGAACAACTTCTTTGCGATTTACAATCTAGAACAGACTTTTGCCATCTTTGAACGTGCATGAATTGTTACAAATTATAAAAATTAAAAAAATTAAATTGTTAGAAAAGTTGGAAGAGTAATATTAGGAGTGTCATTTAAACAGTGGACTACGACTGAAGATTTTTCATTTTTCTTTACGGAAAAGTTAAAACTACACATTTGTCCTGCAAGATGAGGTTCAAAGCTATCATTGGAATAGTTCTCAATATACAATTGTGCTGCAATTGGTGGTACCCTTAAGAGAATGGCAACCAGAGCAAGTTTAGCTAGGAAACACGAGCACCCTATAACGAACCCCATACAACTGTATGACTGGGCAAATAGCCGTAATGAGGATCATCAAACAAAAATGTCATTTTGTTATGTTTCTACGGAAGAATATAAAAAGGCTGACAAGGAATTAGATCCGTGAAAGTGAAACCAATTCCTGGAACTCGAAAATATCATTGCTATAGTCCAGTTTCCAACAACAAAATTGAACTAAAATTATTTCTAGTTCTAACGATACACCCAAAACATTCAATGTATTCAAAAAATATGTACAATACAAATCTTTAATTTGACCACATCAACGTGTTTCTCTTCTGCTGCATCTAAATAGAAATGGGTAATGTCATATTTATGGTTTTTTGAAAAAAATATAATCATTTTTTCAAACGCCCTTTTTAAAAGTTACGGTATAGAATAAAAAAATCATTTTTAAATGAAAAATGCAACCATTGACAGCAGTGAACATGTGAGCAATGTTTCATTCAAATCGGAAGGGCTCGAGACAAAATTGACATATATTTTAGCGTTTTGGGCTGGAAATGTTCAAAATGTATAAGATTTTTGTGAGTGCACGTATCTGAAACTATAGTTCTCGTTGTTTTCTGCAAAGAAGAAAGCAATATCTGAAATTTACAGGTTTTGAAACCTCGTTTATCTTGAGATTTGTGTTTTGGAAATAGCGAAGATGATATGATATTATAAGGACTCTACAAGGAATCACTTTAATACTAAGTTGAGAGTACATAGCATACGAATGAAGTCTCGAGACCCACATCCAACCCCTTGAACCATCTAATTTGGAAACATACTAATGGATGCGTGATCTGTCAAGGGGAAAACACTTATATTCGAAAACTCGGTCAAAGGTCTTGAATTCAATAGGATTTTCAGGACGAATTTAAGTTCTGAGCAAATCCAAGACGTGACCCACCCACTCGGTCATTTCTATATATTACTGTTTTCAGTCAGTCTGCCTTCCTTTAACCAACAAAAGTTTTCCGTAACTTTTTTTCCAATAGATATAATGGAGGATCCTTCAGGAACAAGGGGCAAATCAATATTTTCGTATATCAAAATAAGTTCAACGGCAACGCTATAAAGTATCATCTTTTATTGTTCATCTTCATCGATTTCGACAACATGCTTTAACAATAATTTTCCCGTATCTTACTGTAAAACTCGTTTTATTGATCGACTATACACAAACTACAAAATAAATACACGATTCATTGGACGGTACAACATTTACTTATCTAACTAATTAATTTGAAAAACAATTTTGTTTAACGATTTCGATTTTTCGATTCAACAACCAGATCCGAAATGTATTCATGTATGCATACATGGTGCGATGATCTGCTATCAAAAGACTAGGAAATTTCCACGACTCTATCTTCCTGCATACGGTCAATCGTCGTCTCACGTAAGGTTGTACAAATGTACCGTATGATGCCCGTTCACCGCTCACTTGAGAGCAAATATTTGTTTTAATGAACAATGGTTATCGTTTTGGGCAATAATTACTCGTACGATATTGTAGAAGGCATATTAAAAGCGTGAACTAGATCGTTACACGTTTGTTTGAAACACTTTATCTGTACTTTTTTCAGCAAATTAAGCCAAATTTGATCAATCCTTGAACGGGCACCACACGGTAGTTCATTTGAAACCTAACGACAAACATGATAACCATTTGCTTCCTTTTCACGCTGATTGTTGTGTGGTCATTTTGCATCATATGCGGAATAATGATAATGATAACGCAAACAGAAGTGCATTAATCAAATCAACGGAATAAAGCAGCACGTGCTCCACCGGTGATACTATTTCGAGGGAGGGACTTTTACATCACCGTGAACGATCTTCTCGCCATTATCAACTCGAATCTGTTTGGAATACATTTCATTGACCTGCTTAGAGGCAGTATAATAAACCAACCTACCAAATACTCTCTACAAAACCATATATCGCTAGCTACAAAACACGTTCCTTGTTTACGTTGTCTGACTCGATTCGATCGTGATGTGTTGACTTGTTTGCTTGTAAATAAATCGCGCGATCTTGATTTGATTGTACGCTATTGCCTATATGCTATCGCGATCACAATTGGCTTGTTCTTCTCGTTGGTCTTCCAGTTTCTATTCCTATGTACACAGCTATATATATATATTTACTATAAGCCAAGACACTTGAGTTCGACTAATGCACAGAGTACGGATTCACCTCCTGGGTTTTCGGTTTATGCTCGGTAGCTTTTCACCCCAGCACGCGCAAGCGCGTTCGCTGCATGGAGAAAAGCACACAAAACCTTATAAATTCCTATTTTATGATGCGTGTATGGGTAAATCATCATGCTGTTATGATTTTCGCAAAGCTCTCAGCGTGGAAGCTTCGGTCGAAATCGATTCAATGAGAACGAATTTAAATGTAAGCTTTCCTATTCGATGGATTCGATTCTAATGTTATTCTGTACAAAGATGTGTGACTCTTTTAAGACATTCCGCGTCAGATAGCATGTCCTGTTATTTTATTGGAAAAATCAGTTCCTTACATAGCAGTCTCGAGTGGTTGGGAATAGCTTCGGCTATCCGAGCTGAGCATGGCTGCCATCGGGGGCAATGCTTCATCAAAGTTGGTTTCAAGCAGTGCCTCCGAGCGGGACCTGGCATAGTTGGACCGTTGCCGTTGGCCAGCTCGCTGCTGCCGCTGCTGCTGCTGCTGTTCCTGCTCAGGGGATGCTTCATAAACTGTCTTTGGTCTACGGCTGCCGTTGCTATCGACACGTGGAGGAGGGATAATGGATTCCCGCTCCCTACCCGGAGTGGCGTACTTCTTGACCGCCCTCATGTAGGAATCCGGACGTCGGATTTCCCGGGCATCAGCGCTAGGTGTGGACGGCTCGAGACCATTAGGCCTTCGAACCTGAATGGACGGTTGCTGGTACTCGTGAGGAGCGCTGAAATTCAGCTGATCAATCTTCTGATCGTATGGCAGTGTGCTTGAAGTAAGCTGGGATGTGTTGTTTGATGGTGGTTCCGGGGGAGCCGGTAGGAAGCTACTATGGCCGTTGCTGGGTGGCAGGGGTTGGTATTCCGGAAGGCGGCTTTTCAGCTCGTTCAGGAACGAAAGGTTATCTCCTTTGACTCGCATTGGTAAAGTACTTGAATTACCGTAGAAATCAGGTCCAATTTCGTCGTTGTCACCTTGATGGTGAATGATGGGCGTGTCTTCGTTGATAGCAGTGTTGATGGAATTATTGCGGGTCACCCCTGAGTAAGTGGTTGAATTATCTCGAAAACCTTCATTCCTAAATGCCAGTTCGAAAGCGGTACTTCCCCCATGGGAACTGTAATCCGGTAAACCGTAAACCTTCGCCCGTGTCGGACTGGTATCATCCGCATGCTGCATAAAGTCGGGTCCTCCATTGGCGGTGGCCTCGCCATATCCCATTTGACTTTTCAGTTGTTCCGTGTACTCATTGGTGTACTGCTGCTTGTCGTACATGTCGTAGTTGGTTTCCGAGCTGAGCACGCTCTTATCCACGGATTCAATCGAACCGTTGGCGGCCATTTTCTTGTAGTCCGTCGTACCGGTGGTTGCGGATTTAAGCGTGTCCGTCGAACGCGAGACAACCTGCAAATGATTTGACAGATTATTAGAAATAGGCAAACAGACATCATAGATACACTTAACGTGAACAGGTGGTGTTAGTATGGGTGCACTTACAATATTTATACATCGGTTGGCTGGTGTGATTGAAAGCATAGCATTAGCATTATAAAATCAAATTTTCATATGAACATTTATCAAACTTATAGAAAGGCTTAAGAATTCTAAGTAATTGCAAAACTTCAAACATGTCGGAGAAACATTAGAAAAAATCATAATCAATGCTGTGAGTCTGTAATTAATCAAAACAAATCATTAGATGAATTACCACAACCGCAGATAAATTCAACGGTAATGTGTATTTTTAATTTGAACAGTAAGTGGAACAAAGATCCTACATTTCATTTTCATTTTCTACACAATCATGAAATCATGGATTTGAATTGAAAAACGGCTTCAAAAGTGCAGGTTTAATTTGATTCAAACTTAGTTTAGTTCAGATAGCAAAAAGGAGTCATCTTTGCATACAATCTGAAATGGCGCGTCATAAAAAAAAACTGGATCGGAATGTGTAATTTGTTGGACTTGAGGTATACGTTCCACAAAATATGATAAAACTTATAAATGTTCCAAATAATTCTGGTGTCCTTTTTAAAAGGAACACATCATTTCTATTCGGCGTATCGTTGCCATCGTCGGGCGCAAATGTACTTATTACGTAGGTTTTTTTTTAAATTAAATTTGAGTTCAAGGGCTGCAGGGAATCTCAAAAATATCTTACGAAATCATGAAGAATACAAAGTATGCTACTAAGGGGGAGCTGGGATAGAACAATCCCTAGAAAAATCTAACATAATAAGAACATGGTCCATAACAACACGGTGCCCCGTAACGTGGGTATGATCACCTTTCCATGGTACGTTACGGGATATAAGATCTACCACCGATTCCTAGTCTTGACTACTTCAAACTAGGGGAACAGGATTTTTCAGTAATCAAATGGAACACATCTTAGTCCTTGTTATTTGTTATGCCTTGTTGATAGTGATAAGTCCTCGGGTTGCCTGGACCGAAGATGATCTTGAAACAAGGACAAAATGAGTTAGTTAGTCTTCATCTATGTGATTCCTTATCTTCTATTCGTTGTTCCCTAGTTTGAAGTGGTTAAGACTAGGGTTCTGATGCATGGTTACTATCAGTGTCATTCTTTAATGTTGTTGCTAAGGAATCCAATTTTGACTGAATAGCGGGACCTTTTAATTAGAATCGATTCCTTGCGATGAAGGCAAGTATGACAACTGTATCAAACCCGAATACTTCATCATTTCTCAATAGTGGTGAAGTAATACGACATGCACTAAACTAAGGACACGGGATATAGGGGAAATACAGGTAATGTCAGCCTAAGTGTCCCTAATTTGGGCCCATACATAAATTAAGCAATCGACTAAATTTTCAATAGCAACCAAAAATATCCATTTGTAACGTCCCAATAACGCGTTCATCTAGATAAAATTGATAAATAGCAGATTTTAAGCAATGGGCCCAATCTTAGATCCATACGCCAACATTAGAGACATTTCTCCTACTATAATAGAACAAATTACTGGTCGCAGCAGTTTAATGTCCCGAACAGAGGGGAAAAAAAAACAACACGCTAATAAGTTTTGTGTTGCAATGTGCGTGGCTTGGTGGCCTAATGACGACCATTTTTGCTGAGCAGAAGATTGTGAGTTCAATCCTATGTTGTAGAAAAAAATTATTTTTTTATTTTTCTGAGTTACAGAACGATACACATTTAGAGATTAGTGGTCTTTAGGATTGTGATAAATTGGACTCATAAATTGAATTAGTTATTTTTATCTTGAAGACTTTACCTCAGTCGGTAAAGACGCAAGTATAAAGCAAGACAATGCTGGAGGCGGCTGGGTTCGATTCCCGGTCCGGTCTATAAATTATTTGGGCTGTTAAATTTCTCGACTTCCCGGGGCATAAACTATCATTGTAGTTGCCTCACACAGATACTAATGCAAAAATGGTACAGGTTTAGAAAACTCTCAATTAACAAAAGTGAATGTGCTCAAAGCACACTAAGTTCTTAAACTCAATTAGATTTTTTTGTTCAAATCCTTGAAATAAAAAAAAAAAATTCTACTGTTGAAATTTTCAAGATTTAGAAACGATAATAATTGAATTGAAAATGTTGGATTTATGACGTCACGTCGTAGACTCAAGGGCATGGGTCATGTTCAAAAATTTTGTTTTTGTTGTTGTTTCTTTATTGGCAATGTACAAATTTGAAAGGCTCTTGAAAGATCAATCATGAAAGTCGAAATTTTCAATGTAATTTTTTTGATAATCGGTTTCTAGTATCAAATCCAAGAGAGTCGTGGGAGGAACTTCAAGTGAAATCAAAGAATTTACCAATGTGGCAGTCCGGAGCATATCAATGCGGAATATCCCCAAGGGAAATCAAGCAACTGGAATTTTGCTCAGAATTCTAGGAAAATAGTTTTGAGAATTCCCCGTTCAAAATAATCTTGAAAATCCTCCCTGTAAGTTTTTTCAAGAGCCTAGACAATTTTTCAGGGACCAAAATCATTATTTATGTTTGTAATTTGTAATTTGTAATATTTGTTCGTGGTTTTTTTTTAAGATCGAAAAGTTCTTTATTTAAATTAGTGGGAATTCCGTAAGCCATAACACATAATAGAAACGTAAAGCTATAACTGGTTCATCTACCCTATTGATTTTTCTATAAGAATTTCAAAGCAAAATCTCTCATTTCAAAAATTTGATACTTCTCAGAAGAACCGTACTTAGGATGTTTTTCTAGGCGACGAAGTCTCATTTTTGTGCACCTTTGCCACCTGCTGAGTACGGTGCTGCAGCTCAGTAGCATTTGGCCAGCGGTCTTCGAATAATTTGGATTTCTGAATATTTGTATAGTTCTAAGACAATGTAAAACTTTCGAGATCCGCAATTAAAAACATTATCTAAATTCTGGAACTCAAGGAATTATAGTTATCTTGATCAAAGTTCTTGAATTAAAAAAAAATCCATATTCGTAGTCTCCATTAAAAATGGAGCTGAAATCCGAAATTTTTATCAATTTCGGTGAACTGGAACAGTGCGATTACATTGACAGAAATCTCCATCTTGGCGCCACTTGAGTAGCGACTTTAGAATGGGTCAATTTGTTAGTTATTGGTCAAAAGCGAAGCAATTGATTTGCTTTGAATTTCGATTTATTAATCAAGTTCAAAGTCTAGGGTTTCGAAAAAGTATCATTGTGCTCAGAAAACTAAGCTCTTTTAGATGATAACCGATAAGTTTTTCAAAATAATAAACCAGAGTATGAAAATCTATTATTTGTACTGAAAATCTGAGAGGCATTACCCTCCTGCTTTCCCCCCTCTGGCTGCACCTTTGGATTAAATGGCATACAGTTAAGTAATACTAAACTCCACAAAAAAATACAATATGATCCTAGTTGAACATGTAATGCATATTTACAGAAAACTAAACATAGAACAAAACAGTCAAGCCTTATCTCTAGAGTTAGTGCCGAAAAGATAATCTAATTTCCGCACGATACTTACAAAATTCCGCCTCCTGATCGATCCCTGCGGATCAATGCTATTCAAGCTGCGCAAACTTTGCCGGATGCTGTGCCGGCGCTGTAGTCGCTGCGATTGCCGGTAGCGTGACTTGTACACCCAGCAGATGCAGATGCACAACATAAAAATAAACACCACTCCCAACGACGATAGCACAGCGATCGCAGTGGTATCGGCTGCCCAAAATAATGGATCAATCTCAACCTAAAATTGTACCATTACGTTAAACACTGTCATTTAACAGACCAACTAACGGCATACCTTCGGATCAATCTCGCACAGGAAAGCATGCCGCTCGTAACATTCCTCAACCTCCACGTTCCGGTAGATGAACGAAGTGCACTGATCGATGTAGTTCGGATCCTGAATCCAAACCTTCTCGGCCGATCGGAGATAGCGAGATTGTTGCTCCAGGAAAAACCACAGCGCATTCTTGTCCCCGTGAATGAAAGGAAGTGACGCATTGTCCGACCGGCAGAAGTCACGTGCCTCACGGAAACTCATCGGCGCACCGACGTACATGTAGCAGGTATCGATCAGCAGTGTCCAACCGGGAGGGCACTTACCATTAAGTACGGTGAGGTTATTCATGTGCAACGGAAGATACTGGACTTCCAACAGTTGGGGATCATCGAAGCGATCGCGAATACGGGACCCAACAGCTAGGGTTTCGTTGTAGCTCCAGTAGTTCAGTGTGGCGTCGATTTTAGTCTTCCATACGTCCAGAGTGCTGGGCAGATAGTTTAGATTAGTTGTTTGGTCATAGTTATGAAATTACAGATTAGCGGAGCTAAAGTTGAAAGAATTCTTAATTCTAATAGAAGAACAAAACTACACCTACCTATTCCAAAACTGGAAATCAAATCTGCAAATACAACACGTCGACGTCATGCAGAAGGAGTTAGTTTGGATATGGGAAATAGAAAGAATAAAGCATGCAAATTTTGAATGATTTGTTTGGACCGGAATGTTATGCTGCATATATAGAATGAATTAACCTTATCTACAAAGTTACACTATAATAAACCCAACTGAATTAGTATCTTACCTTGTTCAAAATTAATGAATGCCCGAAAAAAAAATCATAACGATTAAGATAAGTGCTACGGCTAGATAATAAGTGCTCAACCCCGAATAGATCTATTGAAAAATGTACTTACATTGATCGATTCACAGTTATCATTTCGTAGTCGTTTTCCGGATTCGCAAAGACGTTATCTACGTAGTGCTGTCCCGCAGTTCCTGCCACGATCGTGGCCCTTCCGCTCCAATCCGTTGCAACGTTGCTAAAATAAATTCATTAATATGAATAAAAGCCAAAACGAATCCTCCATTCAAACATACTCATAGAACCCGTTATGCGAAGTCGTCTGATAAATTGGCAGCCGCACCCTGTCAAACCCAGAGACTTCAATAATCCGACCACCCTTGTTACTGTGCACGTAATTGTTGCTAAAGTTGGACACCACTTGCCTCAGCACAACCACATCCATGAATGCAGCATCGTTCTGAGTGAAGTAATTATTGTGCACGGTAACTTCCTGGTACGGAGACGACTGGCGGCCTTCCACGTACAACGACGGCCTGTTGCGGTTCTTCACAAACAAGTTATTATGGATCCAACCCCGAAGAGATGTGGCCGATCCACGGGAATCTGCTCGGATCGACAAACCTCCTTGATTTTCTTGGACGAGATTATTCTGCAATAATTCATATAGTTCTTCAGTAAATCCAAACTAGCTTCACTGCTCAATACGTACCCTGAAGTGTAACGACTGCATGTTTTGCACGTCCGCTCGAATGGTGGCCTCGCAGGACGAGAAGTTCCCGTAAAGCTGACGACAATTACGTACGAAGCGATTCCTTTCCAGCGTCAATATCGGTGACACTTCTCCAACCGTAACATAGTGAAGACCTCCTCCGACGCATTCCAGAATTTCCGAATTAGAAATGTTATGCTGGGCATCACGATCTACACGGAAATAAGTCAACATTAAACATCATATCATGGCATGCAACAAATTTACATGTACTTACTAAACCCGATAGCAGAAATCGGTAACGTTACCACTTCAGCAATGAAGCCATGCCTCGCTGAAGCTCCACTAGCGGTCAACCGTACGCTCAACGCAGGCTCGTCCGTCCTAAACAGCTTCTTTTGATTATCAGAATCCGCATCGATAACTCCGATCGTCTTCGCAGAGATATTGTAGATATCACCGTCCATCAGCTGGATCATATCCCGACGACCGTACTCCTTGGAGTGGTTGAACAAGTTAGACTGCAGCAGTCGAAAGCCGAGGGGCTTCGCTCGGTAGGCACTTTTAAAGATCTTAACACAGTTTACCGGATTATTGTCATACTTGTAGTACACCAGAACTCGTTCCTCCAAGGTGATCTCCTTGTTCGTATCGCAGATGTCGATCATCGAGAATAGATTGTACGGAAGATCCAGATCTTTCAGCGGATTGTAGCTCGATTCGTCACTTTCACGACCTTCACCGGTCAAAGAAATGGCATTGATTCCCTGTCCCAGTGCCCTATGGATGTGCAAGTAATTCAAATGGATAGCATCGCTTGGCGATACCAAGTTCACAGCATGGTGTGCGCTATTTCTGATGTTGACAAAACTAATGCTGGGATTTTTCGAAATAGTCTGAATCGCTGGTGATTTCTCCCCATGCAACATTCCGGCCCGTTCTAACTTCACAAACTCCATGACGCTTTCAGCAGGCTTTGCTTTGGAATGAGTGAGCGCATCGTGGATCCTGTGCTCGTAAAAACTGGCCTCGAAGTCTTGATTGGCAAAGCGAACGCCTCCCCAGTAGTTTCTCTCCTCCGGTTCTCCGTTGCAACTGATAAACACAAAATTCGAGTCCCATTGACATTCATGTCGCCGCCCATACAGTTGACCGTTCAACCTCTCCGGGCACTCTTCCAGCCGTAGTTCGTCTCCATGACACTCCATCGGTTCAACCCAGGACCAGATTCTGGTGAGTGAGTTCGTATGAAACTCAATTCGACGATCATGACCGATGAAGACATCCAGCGGATCATATCCCAGCTCTCGACACACAACCTGAGCATTACGCTCGGTAAACCTTCGATCACAGATTGGAATCCATTGCAGTGTTGTGTGATTATAGTACTCCAGGAAACCTTCTCGGATTTTATCGTTTTCATGATCACTTCCGGAGCAGTTCCGGTTGGTGCACAAACGGATGGAGTCGTAGTTCACCATATTCTCCAGCGATCGCTCCACTCGGTTCAGATTTTCAGAAGCACTCTGAATGGGTTTCATGATGATCTCTGCGTCACGGGTGCCACGAGCTATCAGCGTGCCTAGTGCAAGAATTCCAACGTTCGGCGAAAACTCCATCACGACCCCAGGATATATATTCAACGTGACTCCCGGCATAACTGTAATGTCAGCCTTAATCACATATGGCTGATCTCTTCTAAATATCGACAGGTCCTCGAAGATTCTACCACCCAAGCTATCCAAGTCAACGGATTTGTTCTTCGAATGAACAATCGATACACTTCCGTCGACACTGTCCTCGATCAGGTACGGCTTGTACAACGCCTCAGCATGATTATTCCAATCGTCAAAGTCAAAAATACGCATCTTGATATGCTCTTCGTCCTGCGATCCCCACCAATTCTCCCGAACATCCAAAAAGTTATTCAACCTGGCAGATTTAATTCCCGCGATCAGATCGTAATCCTGCTCGTTATTCGTAATCACATTCCGATAGATTTTCACCTTCTGAACACCTCCAAACCCAATTACGCAGGTCGGATCTTTAGCATTTCCACGATCACCTCGAATAAAATTCCTCATCTCAGAACGAGTTGAGACCACCTTTTCATTGCTCTCAATGTGGTTATACGCTACAATAGCCGGAATTTCTCCCAGAATCTCACTCTGGCTATCCGATCGGAACTCCAACAGATACTTCCCGGAATTCTTGACGATTCGGTTGTTGTCAATTCGTATTTTCTTCTCCATTCCTTTGAATCCGATCAATCCGTGAGCACACACATTGTCCATGAAAATGTTAGACGAAACGTTGATCGCAGCGTAGTGACCATCTATGATGATGCCGAACCTTCGATTCCGCACCCAAGTGTCGTTTCCCAAGTACACAGAGTGCGTGAAGTTTTCATTGTACTGCCACACGTACGGTAGACTGAGTTCCAGTCCACCGAAGGAGTTACTCTCGACCGTTGTATCTTGCAGAACGTAGTGAAACAGGTTGTTGGACGAACGTAGATCTTTGGAAAATTGCCGTATTCCTCGACCGTTATCGCGCACCATGCTATTGTTGACGTGGATCGTTATCTCGGAAATGTTACTTTCGTGAACATCCCAGAAAGGGGAGTGAATGAACATGGCTTCTTCCCGATTATGACTAATCTCGCAGTTGACCAGCTTTATCGATTCGTTTGCTTTTCGCAGATATATCTCACTATTCTCTCCTAGGAAGCGATTGTAGTACGTTCCAGTGATACCTCTAAAGTTCCGTTGAATCTTGGTTGACGTAATCTGCAGTGTTGGTACCGGTCCTCGGACAATTCGGTTGAACATGTTCTGAATGGGAGCTTGAATCGATCGAAGTACCAAAACTACTCCACCGATTGCATTGTGTCCACTTTTGTACTGCAAAATGGCACCGTAGCTGCTTGTGGTCAGCGGGAATACGGATATGTCTCGTTTGACCTGCCAAATGTCTGAATTGGTACTGCCAGCCAATGAATCATAAATCCAAATATCTTCCGTTGAGCGATTCTCAATAGGGTTCAATAGTTGAATGCCTATTACATAACCTGGTTGACAGCGGATGGTAATCATCTTTTCAGTCGGATCCTGAACAGGGAGTGTAATTATATGCTTGATCCGCCATTGATCAATGTCAATATTGTATGAGTCACGAGGTAGCATTATTGGCCTATAGTCAGAATCATCAACGTTGAAATCTGGCACCATGTTGAACCAGCTTGTAATTTCCCGTTGTTCCAAGGCAGATACTACCGAATCGTGATTAATTCCAGAGCCCCGATTGTCCTTGATAATGCTCCCATGAATTTTCAAACCCAACTGTTTGATACTTATTCCGTTTCCTCGGTTGGCTGCAAATTCCGAGTTTTTTATGTTGTTCACTGATCCAGCGTAGATATCGGAATAAATAACTCCTAGACCATCCTGCAGATTTTCTACCACCCTGATACTGTCCAAATTATGTCGCGATAAATCCATTTGTAGGGCAGGTTTGAATGTGTTGGTCATGTAATCGAATAAACCGGCTTTTTCAATTGTAACATACTGAAGATCTGCTCGCTCGGCTAAAACTCCGAATCGTAATCCAGCCCAAGCTCCCTCATAACACCGCACACCGACGTCATTCTCGTGACTGCAAGAGTTTTCAAAGTCACCTTGAGATGATTTTTCCACGCGACACTGAGTTATATCAATATCTTGCTCCGTACACCGAACATTCGAAAGCAGAACGTTTTCTGAAGTGCCTGCTCCAGGAACCTCCGATCGTTGTAGCCTCCAATCTCTTGGGTTAAGCGCCAAACCAAGCTGATGGCAAACTAAAGCCGCATTGATCATAGTCCAACCGTAATCGCACACCGTTCCCCATTGACCTTCCGTATAGACCTGCAATCTACCCTCGTGATCGCTAATGCCACCAACCAACCTTACAGGAATCTTAGGAGCTTGGGGATCCGAGGTTCCAGGGTCAATGATCGATTCCGTTTCGATATCCATCATAACATCAGGGTCCATGATAATGGCTTCCGTTGTATCATTATCCGTCATCACGGCTTCTCGTTTCAGCGTGAACATAATGTCATCAGGTTTTCGCCCTCGAGCCTCTAGCTTCCCAGTTACCATCATTCCAACACTTGGAGCAAAGTTCAGTATGACTCCAGGATTAAGAATCAGTTTTCCACCAGGTCGCACATTGATGTCACGCTCTACGGTGTAACTTCCCGAAGGCAAAATCTCCTGTCCATCGACTTCTCCACCGACACGATCGCTGCCTTCTTTGTAGAAAAATGGCACAAATTTGGCATACTGAGCAATCGTCTGGGTACCGGGATTCGAGTGATGCAGCAAATAGGGGAAGTACTCGATCTTTGCCAGATCGTAGCGATCTTTCCGATGGAACAGCCGTTCGTAGATCTTTTCTTCTTCCTGGTATCCCAACCAGTTGTAGGTTACATTCAGAGCTTTGCTCTGGTCCGATAGTTGTGAGCCTACTTCATAATTGGATTCGTAGTTCGAAATGATATTCCGGAAGACATCTACGTTGTTGGAGGAGATTACCACTGGTGCAGCCACTCGCGACCGTGGATTAAGGCGACCTTCTCCTCCCAATCCTTCTCCTTCGTCTTCCATGGGCCCAAACGCTTCTTTGACCTTGTTGTTCTTAACGAAGTTTCTCGTGAACAATAGCCACTGAGTTTTGTTATCCGTGTTGGGAGATAAGCCCAACGAGACGACGTAGATTCCTTTGTTGTACATAAAGTGGTTGTGCTGCACGACCAACCGAACCGGAAGGTTTCGAAATTCTTCCCACGGCTTATTTCTGGTCATCAGAGCTCCATACCTGCCCCTCAGGAATTGATTGTACTCGATCTTCCCTTCCAAGTTCAGGATAGGACTTATCACAATTCCAATCTTGCCGGAATGCTCAAAATTGTTATGGCCAATCTGTAACCGTAGTCTCCGGTTTTCAATTGTCTCGAACCAGCACGATTGAATATCGATTGCATTGTGTGTGCTATCGTTGAACCAGTTTGCCGTGATATTCACCCAAGAATCTCCGCAATAATTTCCATGCAGAACACCGATCTCCATGTTCTTCACTATGTTTGAGTATTCGATAGTTGTCGTTTGATTGAACTCCAGAAATTCCTGACGATCTTTCGTGGTCTGGTTTAACCAAACCGCGAAGCCATAGCCTCTATTAGAACTCAATGAACTTCGCGAAATATTTCGATTGCCACCATAGTACGTTATGTTGATCCCATCGCCAACGTTAAAGCTAATCTTCGAATCCGTAACGTTGACATCACCTGCTCCGCTGGTTACGTGCAAACCGGCAGCGTGCTTATTGTTCGAAATCGTTGAAGCGTGCACATGAACCTGCGATCGAAGATTGTCAATGGCTATACCACGACCTCCGTTGTCAACGATTGTACCTTGTGTCACGTTAAGATCGTACGCTTTCGTAACTCCGGCAGTGATTCGGAAGTGTGCCAGGACTTGGCTCCTGGGCTCTGCACGGATTTTTATGAGCATTTTTTCCCGGGTGGTGGTGACACTTTGAGGCCGAGTTGAATTTCGAATATTCCAGGACGCTAGAAGGCGATCGTTCTCCGACATCCCATCGTAGATTTGGATAACAGCGCTTTCGTTACGAGCCATTTCAAAGTAAACAAAATGGAAGGTCAGAACGTAACCATTTCCGGTGGTGAGGGATTGTGCGCACTGCTTCTGTGACAAGGCGAACGGTGACTGCTCAAAGGATAACTGTATTGGGTAGATTTGCCATGCGGTCGTCGTCAGAGTACAGAAGGTGAACACTTTGCTGCGATCAATTCGTTCATCCGGTCGGAGATCGTGACCAACGTATCGAATACCATCGGCTCCGTTTTCGCTCACCGTTACGCTGTCCAGCAGTGTAGACCCGTAGCTCGAGTTGACGAAGATTCCGAAACCACGACTTCTCCGTACGGTAACGTCTTTGAACATGAATGCTGCATCGTGTTTCGTTACATTGATGCCCGTGTATGACGAATGATCGACCACGACATGATTAAGTATTGGAGGAATTCCCAAAACGGAGATAGCTGCCTCAGCAGTTCCACCCCGTCCGGTACCGGCTCTAACGATTTCGACGTACCTCAAGTCGGACAACGAAATGAAATCGTACAGGATGTGATTTTGGGCCAGCTTTTCTTTGCTCTCGGCGTACTCGAAGCGAATCCCTTGCCAATGGGGTGTCACTTGATCAAACAACGGCAGACACTGAACGCCGATATCGCTATGGTAGTCACAAACTCCGGATCCGACCTGTCGGGATTCCCAAGCGCCACAATCGAATAGAGAGGCTTCCGTTCCACCACACTTCGGGTCTTCGTACAGTAGCCGTGGTTCGTTGTTCTGTAGCCGATCCATCCAATTCCAGAATCGGCCTCCCTTGTAACCCATCTGACGGCAGGTGGTTTCGTAGTCGGCGATTGTCCAGCTGAAATGAGCAACGGAGGAAGGTTTTAATCAATGTTCTGATTTACTAATCAAGCATTAAACCAAGGTTTTCCTTGGTTGAGTCAAATATCATACTTACTTCTTCGAATTACTACAAACAGATCGCCATTTCCCCTGATTCAACAGTTGCAGTCTTCCCGCCAGCGGGTTTGGACCATCTACCAACCGGGCGCCTACCTCCCGTGGATCCGATTCGATATCCTTATAACCCGAATTGGGCAACGAGGTAAAGGTGATCTTGTTTTCCGAAGTACCCTGCACAAAAAAAAAATGAAAATAGAAAACGAGAGTAAAATCAGTTCCGACAATTAACGCAATTTTCCTGCACTCTATCAACGCATACGACCCCGGCCATACATGAACGAAAGTAAAAAAAAAAAGCAGCAGTAATCACCTGTGCGAACATGGAAAGGGAAATTGAAAGCTTTTAACCGAGTAGCCGAGTTGCGGTGCTGTTGATATGCTGAGTTGTGATGGATGGCGAAAAGTGTGAAAATTTCTTCATGGAAAATACGAGTAACACGTTGGAGAAATTACTGCAATTACCCTTGGGTGTACTTGTAGGTGGGAAACTTGGGCGCGATAGGATGATAAGCAGAAAGTTGCATGGACAGGCGACATAGAAACGAATGATGTTACTTGAAAAAATCGCTTCAATATTGCCTAATTAAGTATAAGTATAATTAAAGCTTGGGGTCTCAGATAGCCTAGTAAGTAAAGGTACAGGTCCGGTCTAGAACATTTTTCGGGTTGGAAATGTTCTCGACTTCCCTGGGCATAGAAAATATTTGTACTTGCCACATAATATGTAAATTCATGCATTGCTTGGCATAGACAGGCCTCAATTACCTAATAACTGTGGAAGTGCTTCAAAGAACACTAAGTTGCGAAGTTAAAGCATATCGGCTTGGTGAATACCATTCTAAAGAGCTAGTGGATCACAAAAATGTGCGCCAATCATGCAATTTCTCAACAACCAACCGTTTTCCTCGCATTGAAGCATTTCCCTTTTCTCACTTATCTATGGAATAATAAAGATGGTAAATATTTTGCAAACTACCACTCAACGGTTATGGTAACCCACGTACCTAATTATGATGATCTCTTGGGACGCCACAGGAAACCCCGAGGAAATCTCGTACAATCATACGCAGAATCGCCCTGCCCACGACGTCCGTATCACGTTCATTCGAATCATTCATTCATAAAAAAATACGGACGATCCCCTCTATAGTAGCTCTCTCTCTCTCCCACTAGACCTAGACGGATGCCATTTTTACGATGGTAGATAAAACGGCGGACACCAAACGACATGACACCCCGGGCCACATCAGGAGTGAATCATGGCACACGACTAAAGCAGCTTTCAATCGATCTTGATTGAACTTCGGACGGGCAAAATGTCGTCATTTACCAATTGACCTCAACCGATCTCTGCGCTGCACATATGGTGGAACTGTGCAATTTAAGCCATCATCTCGGTTGTTGTAAACACGTAATTGGCTTAGCGCGAACTGCCAGATCGTCTTAATTAATTAACGGCTGACCTAACCTTTTGCTCTGCTCAGCGAAAGCGGATGTTTACAGCATTCACTCGCTCGCAAGAGCGCTTCGGAGGCATGAATGAAAACTAGGGGCGGAACATTTTGTCACGCGAGACCCTCTAGTTGTGTTTGGGCCATTCACCTGCTTCCAAATGCTATACAGTACATAGTGGAAGCGTCGAGTGAATGACATGCGAAGCTATTGACATTACAATCCGTACGGGAATGATTGTGATGGTGTGGTTGGGACCGTACTGTTACAGCACGACATTAGAGTGATTTTTTTTTATTGCGTGATGGAAGCTATTAAAACGTCACATTGGAGTGCAATACCAGAAGATTTGATCCGTTTTCAAAAGCCGATTCCGTGGAATGAACGAGCACGTCACCGTTACGCCGCGCATGACTCAGTCTGTTTGAATGTTTAGCTGCCACTGGAATCAATGTGGGTGTGGACATCTCAGGCGGCTTTGTCACCTGTTGGATCAATATTACATAGGTAGCTGATAAATAAATGTAAACATACAAAATTACATTTATCTGTGAACACTATAGATTAGCTGAGAATGATTCACATATGCCTTGCAGGGATCGTCTGGAAGCTCCCGCACAGCACAAAAATAGGTTGTTGTTGTTTTGTGTGCTATTCCGTTCGCAATGCTGAGTTTCAAAATGTTTCAAACTACTCGACATTTCAAAAGTTTAAAACTGTCAAAAATGAAACTGCAACAAGGTCAGCGCAATGCTTAGTTTTAAAAGGTGTTTGGTATGAATTCGTACATATGTGTGCGTTTGTTTGCTTCGGTGATTTTAGCAAGGAGAAGGTTTTTCTGATTCAAGAACATGTTTCCTGGAACAAGATGATTACAACAACGTACTCCAGTGTCAGGTAACGAGTTCGAAGCAAGAGAAGAGGTCCCGGACGATTCTGCTGTCGAGACATGTAAAAGAAGTACACTGAAACCTCCGTTAACTAAGTCTTTTTTTACGCAGTATTCAATTTTCGTCCCTCTTTTTACGAAGTAAATTCCAAATAGCGAGATTTTTTTTTGTGATTTTGGGAAACTGGGATATACTGTGAAATACCCCACAATATGGGTATTTTTAGAATCGGAGTGACGTGTAGGAACAGGAAATCGATGTCTGACGCCATTTTGAAATCCAAGATGGCGGCTTCCGGTTACATAAAAACTTGGAAATTCTATCAAATACCCCACAATATGGGTATTTTTGGAATCGGAGTGACTTGTAGGGACCAGAAATCGATGTGTGACGCCATTTTTAAATCCAAGATGGCGGCTTCCGGTTACAGAAAAACTTGGAAATTCTGCCAAATACCTCACAATATGGGTATTTTTGGAATCGGAGTGACGTTAAGGAAGCGAAAATCGATGTCTGACGCCATTTTTAAATCCAATATGGTGGCTTCCGGTAACAGAAAAATTGGTAAATACCACCACGTCACCTCGATTCTTAAGATACCCATATTGTAGGTTATTTAACATTATTTTTATGTTTTTATGTAACCGGAAGTCACCATATTGAATTTCAAAATGGCGTCAGACATGGGTTTTCAGTCCTAATAAGTCACCCCGATTCCAAAAAAACCCATATGGTGGGGTATATCAGTGTTTCTGTAACCGGATGTCACCATCTTGGATTTCAAAATGGCCTCAGACATGGATTCACGGATCTCACAGGTCACCCTGATTCCAAAAATACCCATATTGTGGGGTATTTGCTAATATTTTAAAAAACCTCTTTTTACGAAGTAAATCCCAAATAACGAGTTTTCTTTTTACGAAGTAAATTCCAAATAACGAGGTTTTTTAACGCACTAATTCGATTTACGAACCCCCGTTTTGGTTCGTAAATGGAGGTTCCAGTGTACTATCTGAAGTACGATTCGATGACGGAGGAGATTCCGGTGGCCATCATATTCAAAGCTATGGTAACTGATTCGAATAAGCAGATTAGGCAAGTGGTAAGCATCGATACGGATACCTAGCCGCTTCGATGCTGTAAGCGGTTAAGCTACGCAATAGCGGGCTCTGGAGTACACTGACCCTACAATTATGGATCAGCTAAAGCAATTATGGCTATGGGTCAGTCAGTCTAGCGTGTTAATCAAATGGAAGTGATCCATAATTGTGAGGTCAGTATACATGGGAGTGAAGCAACAGGTATAAGGCAATGGCCGAGATTTACAGGTGGTGAGCTGCTCGTGAATCGGTAATTTAAATTGTCTTCGCAGGTGAAAGCAACCTACATCTCAGCGTTCTAAATGATGACCAGGGTGAACTCACAGTTTTAAAAGACGTGGAAGGTTCGGTGCAGCCAAGCCTGTGAAAAAATGCTGTGTCTATCGGACATTGGATACACTTGAACTTGAAGCTTTCGGTTTGGTGGAGAACTTTGGATTTTGATGACAATGTACAAACTTTTCATGCACAAATTGGCGACAAATTCAGTTCTCTACACGGTCATAAAGGTGTTATCATAATGATTGTCGATCAGGGAGAGCTTCTATTCAACGATTGCGGAATGTCAGCGGATATAATCATGAACTCGAACAGTTTCTTCGCGTCAATATCATGGATTCCTTAGCAACCAAATTAAGCAATGACACCGATACTGGCCATGTATCCTAGTCTTAACCATTTCAAACTAGAGAACAACGAATAGAAGACTATGAATCACATAGATGAAGATTAACTAACTGATGTTTTCCTTGTTTCAAGTTCATCCTCGGTGGACAAAACCAATCAACAAGGCATAAAAAGTAACAAGGTCTAAAATGTGTTCCTTTGATTACTGAAAAATCCTGTCTCAAAGTTTGAAGTAGTCAGGACTAGGAATCGGTGGTAGATCTTACATCCCGTAACGTACCACGAAAAGGTGATCTACCCACATTACGGGGCGTTCAGGTGTGATAGTCAGTAAATCACTTGAACTTCAATATAGTAAAGCTGGAGTTTTGAATGGTACAATCCAATACGGAACCACCTTCAATGGATCCAAAAGCCAAGATGTACCGTTTGCGTGATAATGTTTGCACCATCGTACAAATAAGGTTCCCGTTTGACCTGTGCATACAATGCCTTGGATTTCTTTGCATGCACGTAGCCTATAGCTCACACCGTAGGAGGCTGTGTATAAAAGAAAACGATTTACTTAGTTTGACAGTTGCACCATGACGAAGTGGCAGCGTATTCGTGATTTGTCCCACGCGCAAATGTGGGAGTGTCCCGGTGGACCGTCAAAAGGGTTTTAGACCGAGAAAAGAAAGGACAACTATCCGCGAAGGTGGCCACAGGTCATCCGAGGTCAGCTCGGGTTCCGAGGGTTATCGCTGCTGTCAAAAGGAAGATTCGGGTGAATCCAGTACGTTCAATAAGGAAAATGGCAAAGGAACACGGGATCAGTGGCTTTACGACACGGAAGATCGTAAAGGAGGATTGCGGGGCGAAGTCGAGGGCACGGAAAAAAAAACCCCACATGATTACCAACCGCATCAGGGAGCTACGAGTCGAACGATGCAAGAAACTGAACTTCCTTAAGCAAAAAAATCCGGTAATCCTGTTCACCGACGAGAGCATGTTTACCGTCGATCCCGTATCAAATTCAAGAACCGACCGGTGGCCGACGAGCACAAGAACGGGTATCTGACCAAGCATCCTGCTAGCGTTATGATGTTTGGATTGGTGGCTT